CTCCAGCGACTGGTCCCTCCTGACAATATGTCCAAAGTATGAGAGACGAAGTTTGGCCATCCTGGCCTCCAAGGAGCACTCTGGCTGCAATTTTTCCAACTTCTTAAGGGGTGCTAATATTGCTAAGATGCTAGGTTAGGCCTTCAGGTTAGAAATGGCTCCACATTAAAGTGCTACCACTCTATAGACAAAGAAGAAACCATATTCAGGGAAGTGAAAAAAAATTCTTAGCTATAGACTTTGGACAACCTTGGGGCCTGACCCTTCAAGACATTTCAAAAGTCTCTAAGAATAAAAAATGTGCTAATCTCCTTTTTGGAATCCTGTGTGGCACTATAGGATCAGCACTGGACTGACAGTCTCTTCCTCTGACTGTAGCCCCGGAGTTCCCATGAGGTTTTCTCTATCTGACTGTAGCCCCGGAGTTCCTGTGAAGTTCTCCCTCTCTCTGATTGTAGCCCCCTGGGGCTCCCGTGACATTGTCACTTTCTCTAACTATGGTCCTGGAGCTGGGCCAAAGTTCACACATTAAAAGGGCAGCACCCTTCAGATTTCCAAATAGATGCCAGCAATAAGTCTGGGGAGGCCACACCTCACCTCAACATCTTCTGACCTGCAGGCCATCAATGCAAGGGCTGGTTTCTCACTACTCCTTTAGGATGCCGGCAACAAGTTCAGCAGTCCTTACTCTCTGATCTACTGGCTCCCTCAACCCTTGTGAAATGTGATTTGCTGCAATGAGTTACAGAATGTAGAGAGTGTACCATACTTGTACCTACATACTCATTGTAACTACAAGGACACCAACAAAGAGACACAAAAGGTGAGGTTTGGTAGTGTTTCCCAACATGGCATTTCCATGCTGCTGCCTGCCTGAGATCAGGCTTGCTCATCAACCAGGAAGCTCTCTGGGCCTCTGCACTCAGAGCTTTTCCCACAGCCAGTCCCTCGTGGTTGGTTAAACCATGCCTCCTAAGGTGGGTTAATATCAGCCTTCCAAGTGAGTCTGTTCCGGTCTGGTCACCCCACTCACTATCACAAATCCTCAGATGTCGCCTGAAGTCCCAGACCAAGGAATACAGATTATTGCAAAGGTTATTTCTCCAGACCCAAGGACAAAAGCCACCACACCTGGGGTAAAAGTAAGTTCCTCACCCCATATCTTCTCACGTTGTGATTTGGTGAAGTCACACCAAAGTACAAAACAGCAACCAAGAACACTGCCTGCAAGCTGGAAAGCACCTCTATAGTGAAAACGATATGTGAGGGCACTGGAAATCACAATTTGATCTCATGCAGTCTAATGTGACATTTTCAAGGTTTCTCCATTTTCTATGTTAAGGGCATATTTAATGCCACTTTAAATACAACATGAACATGATACTGAAAGAAGGAAAAAGAAAGAGACACAGACAGACATCAGGTGAAAAGGTAGACTACTTCAACAGTCTAGATGTGTGATGAAGAGGATACAAATAAAGACAGCACGGTAGCCAGGTCACATGCTACAAACGTGGGCCAATGACTACAACAAACACAATTAATTATTCATTTTAAGTAGAATAAATATATTTTCATTTTAGGTCTAGATGAGATCTCAACAGAAGCATTTCACCTGGACTTACATAAGAAAGTGATGCAATAGCTGAACTAGAACAATTCAGTACTATGGAGAGGTAGCAAACATTTCACCCATATGACCCTTAGATTCAGGTTAGATTTTGAACCGTATTTCTGGAATCAGTACTGAACAAACAAACAAAAACACATAGGGTTTCCAAGGCTGTTAATCTTTACCAAAGCAGACTGCATCTTTCTGCACCACACCTAACCCACTGGTCCACCAGGGCTCCTTAGAATTGGCAGAGAACACATGATCTCCACTGTGAGTATACACTGTACTATGGTGCTCTGGCATTCCTTCTGTCCAATGCTCACATGTGACAAAAGAACAGACAATTATCTGTACTATGGTGCTCTGGCATTCCTTCTGTCCAATGCTCACATGTGACAAAAGAACAGACAATTATCTGTACTATGGTGCTCTGGCATTCCTTCTGTCCAATGCTCACATGTGACAAAAGAACAGACAATTACCTGGTAGCCTTCTGTTTTCTTCTGACACCACTTCAGCAAGGCATTCCTCTTTGATCCTCCATATTCTCTGGCCAATGCTGAGAGAGGGTCCTTCCTTTCTTCCCTAAGAAGTGAAAACAAGAAACCCAAAGTTTAAATACTTTTAGTTCAAGTGCTAGAATAAACTGTAAATCCAACAAACAGTGAGAAGTGAACAGAACTAGTCTGTACTCTTGAACAGTATTTGTTGTTGTTATGTGCTGAAGTTGGTTCCAACTCATAGCTATACTGTATAGTGCTTTTGAGACTTTCAAGTCTTTGCGAGAGCAGAAAGCCTAATTTTTCTCCCACTGAGCAGCTGATGGGCTCAAATTATCAACCTTGTGGTTCACAGTCCAGTGCTTATCCTACGGTGCCACTACACTCCCTTGAACAGGATAGATGGCAGTCAACTTTTAGTGTTAGGTCTCATAGACCACAGGGGTCTTGGTTCTCTGAAGTCCCAGTGAGAGAGTCTATTTCTCAGCCACACTGCGAGTGACCAAGATTCAGCACAGTGTGTGTGCATGGCCAATGAAATGCCTTGGGAATGCTCACGAGGAGAAGGCGGAACCATCTGATAGTTATGGCCTCTAGAAGCTGTCATAGCTGCCTTTCGCTCACTGTTTTACCCTTTGATAATCTTCATGCTTTGGTTATATTTGACCAGTTTTGTTGCCAACCTTGTGTGTCCTTGGTCATGGCAAAACTACTAAATATAAATGTAAAAGGACATGGTTATGCAAGGAGAGACTAGTTAGACATAGCTCCTAACTTCAAGAAGCTTACAACAGGGAGAAGCAGTCAGGACAAAAGATGACAATAAGTGTTATCAACATCCATAAAATGCCTCAAATGTTAGCAGTCCAACACTTAACTTACTGTGCCAACCGAACCAGCCCAAAAGCCCCGATGCTTCCACCTCTGATGGAGCACAGCAGCAGCACCCGCTCACTATCACCACTGTGGGCCTTGCAGACCTGCCTCTAGGCGCCCTGTTATGGTGACTTCCAGGAGGGCCCTTTAGGGCTAGGCAGGGCTTTAGAAATAAGCTACATCCTATTTCTCCTCAAACTACAGATCAATATAGGGCTACATTTCTGATATCCTAATAATTCTTAGTTCCTCTTAAAGAGGTACTACGATACTCCTAACAGGAAAAAGAATGCAGACTGACATTTTCATGTATCATTTCCCCAGTTGCTGTTGAGTCATGGTGAACCTATATGTGTAAGAGCAGAACTGTGCAACAGTTTTCAATGGGTGATTTGGTAGAAATAGATTACCAGGTCTTTCTTACATCTCAGGATGGACTTGTGCCTCTGAGTGTGTTAACTGTTAACCTAGAGACTCTCATTATCAATTATTAATGTGACATCATGATCCCAATCTCTCAGCCAAAACTACTAAAATCACCCTGGATATCACCTATTCTTTCATGCCTCTTATTTAAATCTGTTATCGAAATAAATCATCTCTCCCTTTGAAATCCTCCTGAATCCAACCCTCCTTCATCATTTCCAAAGCTATCAACTCTTAAATAGGAATTTATTTAGCTCACTTACACCTTTACCTTCTAACAAGGATCCCTGGTGATGTGTTCAGTTGCTCATCGCAGGGTCAGCAATTAGAACCCCCACTTGCTCCATAGGATAAAGATGAGGTTGTCTGCTTCTGGAAAGACTGACAGCCATTGAAATCCTATGGAGCAGCTCCACCCTGTCCCACAGGGTTGCTATGAGTAACAATCACTCAACAGCAGTAGGGTTTTCCCTTCCACCATATCAACTGGATATAACTGGATGCCTTAACTTTGAAGACATTCCATCATCTAGCCATGCCCCTACCTGTTCAACTGATTTTTTCTCCAGCCCCTACTAATATAGGTCCCTTTCCTCTGGTCCCCCAAACCCATCTGCTCCTAATGTGCAGCCCCGCTCCCCAGTAGACTCTTCCATGATTCATACCTTTTGTACATGGACTTGGGCAGTGGGCCCTGTGGAAACGCCCTCTCACCCTCAGAGCCCACTGCAGCCCTGCCCTCCCAGGAGGGCTTCCCAAACTACTCCACCCAAATCCTGTCTTCTACTTGAGGACTTACTTTTTTTTTTTTTTTTTTTAACTTGGAGTTCCTTTATTCCCCTCCTCACTCTCACAGATTCTTTCATTTCTTCTGAGAGGAAATACTATTACAAATTTGCTGTGCTTTGTACACATACATCCTTAAGCAGTTTCAGTATTGTTTTCAATTTTTGTTTTGTCTGTTTTCAATTTGCCTAAAGTAACATATATTATCATCATTCCACCACTTGTTGTATTTGTCAATATTTACCTATTTTTATACTACAGATTTAGTTTACTCATTTTACCTACTTTGTATGCATATTCTCCATTTTTATTTATCCATTCTCCTATTTATGGCCATTAAAATTGCTGCTTCCTTCCTTCCTTCTTTCTTTTTTTCCTCTCTCTCTTTCTCCATACCTCCCTTCCTTTTTTGTTTTCTTTTTAAAGTAAGTTTTATTGTGAATTGAGTAATCATTTACATGGAAGAACATAGGTTTTACACTTATTATTTCATTGCAATGATAACAATCTCCTCTGTGCATCATCATTCGATGGTATTTGCTTCTATTCCCTCTGTGGGTTTTGTTTTTTGTTTTTATGTACACAACAACACTAAACCAATCAAAGGGCACATTATGCAGGTCTGCCTCCTGGCCGCCACCAGCATACAGCCTTTCTCTTTCCATGAGTCTAAAGTACTCAGCAGCTTTCTCTCTCACTGTCCTCATCTCTGTCTCCATCTCTGATGTCAATGCTTCTCTGGATAGGGTCCCACACTCAACTGGTGCTTTTCTCACTTGATTGCCCTAGGAGCCTTTGTTCCTGGACTGTAAGATTAACTACTCCCCCTGATTTTTGTTAACAAAACTCCTGCTTTTATAGTTGTGACAGGAGGACTTACTTTTGAGCTCCACTGTTCTCTGATGAAAACTCACAGACACACTGCTCACCCTTTCCTCATACCTCCTTACCCAATTCTAAACAGAGAAGGGGAGACCAGAAGACACTAACAACATGAGCAAAAGGAAAACTCAATGTCTATTTCCAAAAGACCAGGAAAGGCACCCACGAAACACACAGCCACAAGCTACACCTACCTTATCCGACTTCGGGTGGTAGGAGTCACAGATGCTGTGGGAGAGGAAGAGAGGGAGAGCTGTGGCGACGTGGCCCCAATAGCCATGAGTGAGGCTGGTGATGTGCCCTCTGGAGCAGAGATGTCTCGTTTCATTTCTTCACTACTGCGCCGAGACACTGGTGGTAAGAAATGGTCGTTACTCACTCACAAACACATCTAGGACACTTCAAACCAGGGGTAGGGAATGTCCAGCCCATGAGCCATATGTTGTTGTTGTTATGTGCTGTGGAGTCGATTCCGACTCATAGCGACCCTGTACAGGGTTTCAGAGGCTGTAAATCTTTACGGGAGCAGAAAGCCTCATCTTTCTCGTGCAGAACAGCTGGTAGTTTCAAACTGCTGACCATGAGGTTAGCAGCCTGATACGTAAACACTATGCTACCAGAGTTCCTTATGTTGTTGTTGTTAAGTGCCATCGAGTCAGTTCCGACCCATAACGACCCTGTACAGGGTTTCCGAGGCTGTAAATCTTTACGGGAGCAGAAAGCCTCATCTTTCTCCTGCAGAGCAGCTGGTAGTTTTGAACTGCTGACCTTGTGGTTCACAGCCTGATTCATAACCACTACGCTACCAGAGCTCCTTAGAGCTCCTTATGTTGTTGTTGTTAAGTGCCGTCGAGTCGGTTCCGACCCATAGCGACCCTGTACAGGGTTTCCGAGGGTGTAAATCTTTACGGGAGTAGAAAGCCTCATCTTTCTCCCGCAGAGCGGCTGGTAGTTTCGAACTGCTGACCTTAAGGTTCGCAGCCCGATTCGTAACCACTACGCTACCAGAGCTCCTTATAAGGCCCATGAAATCATTTGGTCTAGCCCTGTCAAGGAAACCACAGCTCCAGCCATCACATTTGTTACTATAGTTGTTAAATGCCTTGGAGTTGGTTACGATCCACAGTGACCCTATATAGGGTTTCCAAGGAGTAGCTGGTGAGCTTGAACTGCCAACACTGTGGTTCAAATGACTTTGCAGTCCACTGACAGGAAAACTACAAAACAATAATGGCAGTCTGACAGACTACTACAAGAACAAGCAAGTTGCTTGCCCAGGAGACATCAAGGCAAGTCATCAAGACATCAAGGCTCCTCAGGGCAAACCTCCTTCCAAGACTAAGACTCAGTGGGAATACAGGAGCAGACATGCACCCTGACTGGTGACCACGTTGGTCACTGATAAGGGGAAGTAAAGGAAAAAACAGCAATGAAGCAACAAGCTAAGCCCTACCACATTCAATAGACTCCTGTGAACCTGGGTGGAGACCTGGTTGGCCAGCAGTGTGGCAAGACCTGGGGATTCCTGGGCCCAGAGTCAGTGACATAGCCACAGAGGACTAGAGTGGAGAGTGAAGCGTCCAGCAGATAAGAAGTGAGGGTATATACACAAGAACACCCACACTTGCAGATAATACCCACTCGACCTGGCTTCAATGGCTGGATGATCAGAACTCAACTAGAAGAAGAAAGAAGAGGAAAAAAAGAGTAATCTGATACACTTTGATGAATTTGACCTACACCTATGGATGCAGTAGCTCAAAAGAGGGAACAAATCTTTACAACGAGTATCATTTCTACCCCCTCGATACACAGGGTAGACAAGAATGGGCAACTTGAATATTGGTTACCCAAAATGGGGGGCTACAAAGGTAAGAAGTGACTGTCTTACAGGCTTTCAAGAGGGAGCCTAGATCCAGAGGGCATGGAGGAAGGAAGAATGTCCATGTGGTAGTATTCTGTCTGGGCAGAGCTGATGAAAGGAGATGGGAGTGGCTTTCATGTGGCACAGTAGTGAATACTTGCTATCTGGACCGACTGTGAGGGTTGGAAATGTACAGGTAGACATTTTGTAGCAAAACAAGGGAAGTGGTTGACTTTGCATTCCAGGAATGGAGGTCCCTGGAACCATACCAAGGGAGAAGAGTAGAATGTGGGACCCTACCCAGAGAAGCAGTGACGCCAGATATGGAGGCAGAGACGGTGACATGGAGAGAAGAAACAGCTGGGGTCTCTAGACCCAGAGAGGGAAAGGGGCTGTGTGCTGACGACCAGGGGACAGGCTTGGTTGGTGATGCATGGAGGGGATTGTAACCATGGCAATGAAACGATATACGATAGAAGGAATGTAAAGCTAATGTTCTCCCATGTAAACTATCACATAATTCACAATAAAATATTAAAAAAAAAAAAAAAAAAAGACTTTGCAGCCCCAGCGCATTAACCCACCAGGACTCCAGCCATCACATTTGTTGTTAGGTGCAATCGAGACGGCATCGATTCATAGTGACCCTATGTACAACAGGATGAAATACTGCCTGGTCCTGGGCCAACCTCACAATTATTGTCACAACTGAGCCCACTGATGCTGCCACTTTGCCAATCTCGTTGGGGGTCTTCCCCATTTTCCTCTGACCCTCCACCTTACCAAACATGATATCCTTTTCCAGTGACTGATCCCTCCTGACAATATGTTCAAAGTATGAGACACGAAGTTTGGCCATCCTGGCCTCCAAGGAGCACTCTTAGCTGTATTTCTTCCAACACATTTATGTTTGTTCTTTCGGCAGCCCGTGGTACTTTAATTATTCTCCTCTTACATTAATTCTTCTACATTCTTCCTTATTCACTGTCCAACTTTCACATGCATGAGGTTATTGAAAATACCATGTCTTGGGTCAGGCACAACAAACTCTCCCTAAGAACCGTTAAGTGGCGTGGCCTCCCACACCACTGATGGCCGAGCCGCCTGAACACCCTCCAAACTCTGGGCTGAGCACAGTGGACAACGTCCCTGTCACCTGGGGAGGGGCTGGCTGCGTAGGAAGCACTGACTACATCAGCCTGCACACTCCCCGCTGCCTAGCCATGCCTGTTTCCCTATGGTTTGTGAAGACTTTCCTGGTGGTTTCAGGATAGCCGCAAGCAGAGGACAGCTCTGCTTTAATAATACTACGATGCCCTACTAGCTAATTGGTCCTGGAGTTCTGGGTCATTTTTATAACTATTCTTGTTTTTTCCCTTTCAATGTCTGATCTCTTTATTTAGTTTCTTTGAATTGGTGTGCTAAGAAATGGATGAGAAAGCCACATAGAATTTTATGTAAAACAGAAAACTGATTCAAGAAAGAATCTGAAGAACTCTTATGAGGGAAAAACAGAGACAAGGCTCTGGGCCTGGGGCTTGTGATGGTCACTGTAGCAAGTCACAAGACAGTCTCATTAATTTAAAGATCTGCCAATAGGTAGGTGCCTATAGGTGCCGATGGTGGCACAGTGGGTTAAGCAACTGGATTGCTAATTGCAAGGTCAGAGATTCAAACCAACCAGCTGCTCTGTGAGAGAACGAAGAGGCTACCAGTTCTCTTAAAGACTGACAGTCTTGGAAACCCTAAGGAGTAGTCCTACTCTCTATAGAGTTGTTAGCAGTTGGAATCAACTCGCTGGTAGTGCTCAATTTAACCCCATGCAGAGCTGGGTCAGTGGCTGCTGAGGCAGGACTGCCTGGGTCTCTCTTCTCTTGACCCATTTTTCAGCTGAGTTACTAAGGGGAGGAAAAGGCTGTGGTAAGAATGCATCCAGAAAGGAAAAATAATATTAATCACTGACAAATGGACAGTTAGCCCACCCAAATCTCAATTATGGAATGGCTTCCTCAGACAGGAAAATTTTAGCTTACAGATAAATTACAGTGTGTTCTAAATTGACTTCTCAAAATCACTCTCAACACACCTTGTAATAAATAATCTTTCACAACAACTTCAACTTTTTATCAGTGTTAACAAATAGAACTGTCTAGGTTTCTGTTTTGTTTTTAAATAAGCACAGCAGGGACATGTGATTTGAAGACACAACAGGACAAATTCAGAGTGAAGAATAACAACTCAAAGAGCTACAGTGGTAATTCAAGTTATAATTGTGGTGGTGTGCCATGGAGTCAGTTCTGACTCGTAGTGACCCTACGTAATAAGAGTTTCCAAGGCTGTAAATCTTTTGTTGTTAAGTGTTGTTGTTAAGTGCCTTCGAGTTGGTTCCGACCCATAGCGACCCTGTACAGGGTTTCCGAGGATGTAAATCTTTACAGGAGTAGAATGCCTGATCTTTCTCCCACGGAGCATCTGGTAGTTTCGAACCGCTGACCTTAAGGTTCGCAGCCCGATTTGTAACCACTACGCTACCAGAGCTCCTTACAGGAGCAGAAAGTCTCATCTTTCTCCCATGGAACGATGGTAGTTTCGAACTGCTGACCCTGAGGTTAGCAGCCTGACTCGTAACCACTACGCTACCAGAGCTTCAAGTTACACAGTAAGACTAAAGATTCAGTACTATCAATGGGGCTTCTGAAAAATCCTTTAAGGGCATTTCGGAGAGGCAGGGCCATTACCTGAGATAGTCTTAGCATTATCCATGGCCGGCACTCTAGGCAGTGAAGCTGGTCTGCTGGTTGAAGATGTCCTCAGCAGGTGCTCTGTGGGAAAGGTCACAAGAAACAAAGGGATGCTGAATTCTGCAGTGACAAGGGATACAAGGAAGGTGAGCTTTACTCCTCTAACCTTGAGGCACATCTTTCTTTCTTCACCACCTGTAGAGTCTGCTTATCAAAGCAATCTTCTCCTAGGAATCTGTGCATCAAAACAACCCCTGCACACATAGAACCCAGAACAACATTTCATTTCAGTTTTATTTCTGGCAATGAGCCCAGATGAGCACTTTGGAACACTGGAGGCAACTTACCTTTTTGATGCAATTCTACCAAAATCCCAGGTGCCCTACTGCACACAGGTTTCAAATGACAAACAACATGAAGCGGCATCCTGATGGATTTGTAGGTAGTGAGGAAGCCACATGTGTCTATGCACACAGACAAGTCTGGACAGGATGATTGCAGGCACGAATGACAAAGCACCACGGCTTTGAGGAAGAAGCCATTTGCATGCACTTCAGGCAGCCAGGAGAGGCTTCAAAACAGAAGACATGAGATGCGGCCTTACCAGGCTAGAAGAGGGGGGTTAGAGAATCCTGCAATCCTCATTTGGTTAAGACACAGGACATGGGGAGAACCAGGAGGACAGCAGGAAAAGAGCCTTACAGGAGGATGAGGCGGGAGGACGAGAACCTTCATTCCCAGTACATGGACTTTAGTCAGAGCATTTGAAGAAGGACACAAATACCCTACACTTCTGTGCCCACAGCCTCTCCTGGGTCTAGTCCCCTTTGCTGTCTAAACACACATAGTCTTAGCACAGGCTATGCCCTGCTTCCAGATCCCCTCCTCCTCCACTGCCTCATTCAGATCTGCACTTCACTCCTTCAGAGGGCTCCCTACAGCCTCCCTCCCTGCACACTTCTTCCCTGGGGCCACACAAGCCCAACAAGAGGCTGTCTTCTAGTCACACAGAGGCATACACAAGGAGCCTAGTGTACTAGGTGAAAACACCAATCCTGGACCAGTGTCTAAGAATGTCCCATCAAAGCCAAATCAGCTGCCATTAAGCCAGTTCTGACTCACAGCAAGGCTGCAGAGCAGAGTGGAACTGTCCCACTGGGTTTCTGAGGCTGTCAATCTTTACAGGAGCAGGCAGCCTCATCTTTCTCCTGTAGAGTGACTATTGGGTTTGAACTGCTGACCCTGTGGTGAGTAGCCCAACACTCAACCCACTATGTGACCTGGGCTCCTTAATGGCCCCACACCAAGTAAACTGGTCATTTGCCACTTCTTTTTAAGAACTTCAGCTTTAAAAATACTCCCTCTCAATAGTCATGGCAAGTGACATTACCTTTTAAGGATAAAAATAAAATAAATAAATAAATCAATCAAACCACACCAAGCCCACTGCCATCGAATTGAACAGCCTCTCAGCAAATCCTATAGTACAGAGTAGAGTTCCTAAGGGTTCCTGAGACGGTATATCTTTGGGAGCAGACAGTCTCATCTTTCTCTCTTCGAGATGACCGGTGGGTTTGAACCACCCACCATGTGATTAGCAGCCCAATGCCTAACCCACAGAGCCACCACAATAAATCGTTTATTCTGAAATATATTTCTAGGTATATGAGGAACACTTGGCTAAAACTGCACACTATTTTGGAGAGGAAAAGAGTAGAAACAGTGAGCAGCACCACAAAAACATACATCAAAATGACCACAATCAGTTCATACTATCAATAATTCAACTAATCCTCAATGGCTTAAACACACTAGTCAAGAGATACAGTATACCAGAATGGACTAGAAAAGTGGATCCTTCAGTATGTCGTCTACAGAAGATATACCTTATACACAAAGACAAAATTAGATTAAAAGTCAAAGAATGGGGGGGAAAAAAACACCAAAAACATACCAAGCTAATGGAAATAAAAAATTAGCAGGGTGGAAATATTAATTTCTGGCAAAATAGATCTTAAGATAAAAAACCAGCATAAGAGACCAAGAAGGACATTATCTCATGATTAAAGGGACAACTGAACAAGAGAACATAACCATAATAAACATCTATGCTCCCAATAAAAGCCTCAAAATACAGAACTGACCAAAGAAATAGATAACTCTACAACTGTAGATTTTAATGTATCACTTTCAATAAAGGAGAGAACTAGAAAGAAATCAACAGAGACACAGAAGTATTCATTTTAATGAACTTGACTTCATAATACAAAGTACTCAAGCCAATAGAAAAACAACACACATATTTTTCCAGTGCACTTGGAACATATTCTATAATAGACCACACGTTAGGGCATAAAGCAAGACTCACTACATTTAAAAATATCAAAATACTACAAAGTGATCGTCCGGTTTGCCAGGGCAGCCAGGCGGTGCGGGTGAGTGGGGGCTCCGGGATGGGCGGGGGGTGGGGGGAACTCGCAAGTTAAACCTCCCAGGTAGGAATTCACAGTCTCACAGCCCGCGTGAATCTTAGTGCGCCAGAGCCTTAGACCCGCTACTTTGAGAAATCACTGTGCAAGGAATTACAGGCTTTTTAAAAGGGCGCCGCGGCAGCCCCCGCTACATTGGGCTTGAGGAGGCGGGGCGGGAACTAGCTCGAGCGGAGCCTCCAGTGGCTGGGAGACTCAAACAGGGAGAGCCACTGGTGACACCTACCCCAAGGTGGGATTTCTGCGCATACAGTGGACAGAGGGAAGTTAGTTTAGGAGAGGAAAAACAAAAAAGCCTGCAGAAAAAGAGAAGCGGCGACTGTCTGACGTCATCAGGTGCGGACTGTGTCTGCCTGAGCCACTTCTGCCCTGCCCAGTTGACCCGTGTGTTCCCAGGGCCGGCCGGGCTCACGCGCACACAGGCGAGCAGCTCCCCTCCTGCCCGAGCCGCGTACTGCGGGCCTGCCAGACGCGCGAAAGCGAGCAACCCGCCTCCCGCTGAACCGAGCAGCGTCCCTCAGCCCTGCCGGGCGTACGCCAGCAAACAGCTCACCTCATGCTCAACTGAACCACGGAGCATGGGGGCAGGCAGCCCACCTCCTGCCGTGAGCACCCACTGGGGAACCCCATTTGGGTCTCCCCTTTATTTTTATTATTATTTTTTATCTTAGAAGGTTCAGCAGGAGCCCCGACGTGGCCCTGAGGGCTGGGGTGCCACTACAAGGTCACCTGAA